GGCCCAAACGTTCTAATAAAGAGTAGAAATACTAGTTGCAAGTTGTGTGCCTTTTTCTTCAATTTCTTCAATTTATATATATGATATACTATATCTTATAACATATTTCCCTGAATCTCTGAATCTCCATCAACGTTCTCATAGAATTGTCGGAAAGGCTCAAAATAGCAATTGCAAATGAGACAAAAAAACTTAAAGATAAGATGATTTCAACAAATGAAAATATAATTAACCGCAACCTCATTTACCATGACTACATATGTGTTACTATTTTTATTTTAGAATTCATTCCTGCCCACAATGCCTGATGACCCCAACCAAGAAGTTCGTGCGGCTGTAAAAGGCACCATGTATGGTAAGTCGTAAAGTTTGTTTTCTCATTGTATTATGGTGGACTGGTATGTAGTAATCTCTCTTCTTTGTTTCCATCTTAGAATGCGTGAATGGACATCCGTACCTTGTTACCGAAGTAAGTAGTACATTTTTGTACCAAGCTTTACCGTGTGTTGATATTGGTAATTTAAAAAAACTTTGATTTGATATTGTTGCATTATTGTTATTTGCAATCTGGACATGATGTATTATACCATATCCCTTCGCATTATGAACAACTATGCCTAACAAATTCCCGATATATTCAGTGTGGCCGTCCAACGGAAAAGAGTAGATGTCGTGCACGTGGTTGTGGAGCTGAAATAGGAGGAGTCAATCACGTTCCTGTTTCTGGAAATAGAGCGGCAAACACGTAAGAAATTTGCTCTTTTGTCATTCATCTTTTATTACCTCCCTATACAATATCATATATTTTCATGGTACTCGTGTTTCATCAACCAATTTTGTTTTATTTACCAAGCTTTCGGGCCTATTGGTCCATCCTCAGGGTTACAATGGTTTGAAGGATAAAAAACTCTATTTGACTTAATCATATATTTTTTTACTTTTTTTCCGTCCAAAGTCGGGTCTTCATGTTTGCTATGCTTTCTTTTCCTATCTTTCTCAATCTCGTACCCAGAGTCTTCGTTCTCTTGGCCAGCGCCGAAAACGTAAGACTCTGGGCTATCGGAATTTTTTGCGAATTTTGATTGGTTCTTGAAATTGAAACAAATGCCGCCGGAAGTGAAATTACACCAAGGAAAACATGCAAATTCTTGTTTTATCTCGACATTTTACCTTAGATTATTGCTTTAAAATTATTAAGTCACTCAAGTAGGAAATTGTGATGAACAAGATCAATAAGTGCATTACCGAAATGCAGTTAAATTTAGCCGCGACGAACTGTCGCGCCAACTGGCCAACCGTCGCGATCGGAAAACACATAGGCTACCCAACTATTGCTTGAGAGAAAGAAAAGAACGAATGCGCACGCTTTTACGCTGGTGTTATCGGCGCGCGCTCTTAGCTAAATGCGGGTTACCTGTGGTATGACGTCAGTGATCCCTTACCTCGCGGGATCAAAAACTAGTCCGTGACAAGGTATGAAACACTGGTCACGTGACAAATATAATTTTGCTCATATTTCGCCGAAAAACAACAGAAAACGACGATTTTCTTTCAAATAACAATATATTGCCAGATTCCCTAACTGCCTCACGATTTTCAGTGTGAAATGTTTATTGCATGATGAGAAAATGAAAATTAAGCATTTTACTCGCCGTGGACCGATGTGTGCACCAGGTATCGTGTCCTCCCCTCCCTACCTTTTTTCATTCGGGTAGACTTCGAGGCCTTTCGTAAACAGTCGAGATTTTTCCGAGGGTCATCCGCTACCGTGCATTCGCTCGTGTCCGATTCGTGTCCTGAATTACTTGGTTGGTCTTACGCTGATTTTCAGTTTTTGATGGGAAGCTTTATGCCAATATCCTGAAACTTTGAGACTTCATGCAAAAGATGAGACAGTACATTGTGAGGAACAATTATTTTAAAGGCAAAGATCTTATTGAAGACTCTTGCTCATTTCAAAAACTCGAAAAATGGAGCAGAAAAGTTCATAACTTACGTGGATTTTTACTTGAGTTTAAGCTTATAAGACTTAAATTTATGCCCATATGCAGTTAAAGCAAGCTTTCTTGAATGAGGGACTAGTTGAAACTAGAGATCTTTTCCTGATACTTTGAGAGGTATGTCAAGCACTTTAGTTTCTATGAAATCTATCGGCTTTTTTCTTGCAAACCACCGGCAGTTTTGAGAACTTTCCATTACATTTTATGAAACCTTTACGTTTCACCGCTTTATTTCGGATTATTTAGATAATGAATTTTGTTATGTAGAGATTTTTGATGTTTGAAAACCCGAAAATGCTTCGTTCGGTTGAATTGAGTCGTTTCAACTCAACCTAAC